GATTGATCAATTAAATATTGAATGTACGGTTCCTGAAGAACCAGAGGTGTCCGAAAATAATGAAATCTCAATAAATTATATGATACTTCATAAATTATGGAAACGGAATAATATTGTTATAGACAATATTTTCGCCTTTAACATGGCTCTTGATATTATGCAAAATGAGGATCCTGAACCACAGTCTGTTAATGACTGTCGAAATAGAAATGATTGACCAAAATGGAAATAAGCCATACAGGCAGAATTGAATTCTTTGGAGAAACAAAAAGTGTTTGGACTAGTAGTTCAAACACTTGAAAATGTAATCCCTGTTGGATACAAATGAGTTTTTGTACGAAAGAGAAATGAGAATAATAAAATTACAAGATATAAAGCCCGACTAGTGGCTCAAGGTTTCTCCCAAAGATCGAGAATTGATTATGAGGAAACATATTTTCCCGTAATGGATACCATCACTTTTAGGTTCTTAATTAGTTTGATCGTGTCACAAGGGCTCGATATGCGCCTTATGGATGTAGTAACTGCCTACCTATATGGTTCACTTGACAGTGACATATATATGAAAGTCTCTGCAGGATTTAAGGTGCCAGGAATAAATGATACATGTTCGAGAACTATATTCTCAATTAAATTGCAAAAATCATTATGTGGATTGAAACAATCCAGAGCATGTGGTATAATCGCCTTAGCGAATATTTGTTGAAAGAGGGTTATAAAAATGACGGTATGTGCCCATGTGTTTTCATAAACAAAACAAATATTGGATTTGCAATTGTGGCAGTTTATGTTGATGATTTAAATTTAATTGGAACTCTTGAAGAGCTCAACAAAGCTGCAGATTATTTGAAAAATGAATTTGAGATGAAAGATTTGGGAAAAACCAAATTTTGTCTTGGATTACAAATTGAACATTTTTTAAAGGGATTATTTGTTCATCAATCTACTTATACAGAAAAGGTCTTGAAACGCTTTTATATGGATAATGCACATCCATTGCCATCACCTATGGTTGTTCGATCACTTGATGTGAAAAAAGATCCATTTCGTCCACTTGAAGATGAAGAAAAGATTCTTGGTCCTGAAATATCATACCTTAGTACAATTGGAGTATTAACTTATCTTGCAAATTGCACTCGGCCCAGCATAGCTTTTTCTGTGAATCTCTTTGCAAAATATAGCTCTACACCAACTCAAAGGCATTGGAATGGTGTTAAACATATTTTTCGTTACCTAAAAGGTACTATTGATATGTGACTGTTTTATTCTCAAAAGTCAGGATATGCTTTAGTGGGATATGCCGATGCAGGTTATCTCTCAGATCCACATAAAGTTAAATCACAAACAGGATATGTGTTTACACGTGGAGGAACAGCTATATCATGGAGATCTATGAAGCAATCCTTGACTGCAACATCCTCAAATCATTCTGAGATTATTGCAATCTATAAAGCAAGGTGAGAATGTGTATGGTTGAGGAATATGACCCATCATATCCAAACATCATGTGGATTGATTTCAACAAAAGATAGTCCAATAATTTTGTTTAAAGATAATGCAGCTTGTACGCACAACTCAAGGGATGCTATATCAAAGGCGACAGGACGAAGCATATTTCTCCAAAATTCTTTCATACACATAAACTTCAGAAGAATGGTGACATTGATATTCAACAAATTCGCTCAAGTGACAATGTGGCTGATCTATTCACAAAAGCGCTGCCAACATCTACATTCAAGAAATTAGTTCATGAGATTGGAATACGCCGCCTCAAAGATTTTCAGTGATCAACATCAGGGGGAGTAGGTGTATTCTTTTTCATTCGCTTAGGTTTTGTTCCATTGGGTTTTCCTAACAAGGTTTTAATGAGGTAGCATTTAATTTTAATACTCCAAAATAATTGTACTATTTTTCCTTCGTTTGTTTTTTTTCCCATTGGGTTTTTATCAAACAATGTTTTAACGAGACAGATATTTTGTAATATGTCATTCAAGGGGGAGTGTTGTAAATGGAAAGTCCATTAAAGTTTATTGGTGAATGACATTTGTACCCCTGTAGCCCTAGAAATTATTACTATTGTATTTCTGATTCTTACCTATAAATATAGGACTTTGATTTTCAATAATACACACACAAAAAGTTTATTGAGTTCTCTCTATTCTTTTTTAGTTTTCTCTATTCTATTTTCCTCTCATTTTATAACAGGAATAAAAGTTTTGAATAATTCACAAAAAGTCATAGTAGCTAAGTACTATTGTATTTGATTTTTTATTCATTTTCTTTTATTAATTATTTTATATCATTTAACTATAATTAATGATTTCATAAACTATATTTTATATTTATAAAGAACATGAATCATGTATTACAATTGCAGATGAACATCATTAGTATCAACTAAGAGTTTAAAATATTTATATCATGTTATTGCATTATAATGATTATATTTATATAACTTTGATTTATAATTTTTTAATAATACAATTTATGTTTTGACATGAAATTTTAGACTAATATTTATGATTTAACTTATTTGATATATATTATTATTATTATTATTATTATTATTGTTAAACCATGGTTTTAAACCAATGCAGACCGAAAAAAATGGTTGGATTGGTTTGGTTTAGAAATAGAAGTGGTTTGGTTTGAAAAAATTTCAAATCATTTTAAATGGTTTAGTTTAAAAATTTGTCTTAAATCGTCAAAATCGAACCGTGTTCACCTCTAAATGAAACTCTCCACTCTTTTTTTATCTTATGTGTTCAAATTAGTTTAGTGTAAGGAAATACTATTAATAATGTATTGTCTCAACATTAATGTTGGTTGTACAATCCTGTTTTACATGGCCTGTACAGGCTAGCATTAATGCCGAGGAGGGTGGGTAATTATTTTAAAAAAAATTCACCCATCCGTACCTTGCATGTGTTTGGCCTATACGATCAGCAACTCTCTTCTCTCAATTATTGAAGTGCACTATAATATATTAAAATCAAGATTTTTAAGTTGAGCCGAGAGGATAAAAATAAAAACAAAACCATCTCTTTCCTGAAGCGCTGGAAAATTAAATAATGAACCGTTAATTAAACATGATTAGCATAAAAATATACACTTTACATCAATACGTCGTTAATATCTCATTTATTTAAAGTAATTTGAAAATATGAGATAATGGCCAATGTACTTTTCGCAATATTTTTCATTGATCACCATTCTCTCCATAACGTTTATCACTCGCCACTGAACCTTTGTGACATAATGAAAATTAGCGGTGAAGAGTTTCATAGTAATTTATCCAATATCCAAGTATCTATTTCATCTTTTTTTAAACAGTTAATAATTGAATGACGAATAATATAAAGATTTGGTATATTTTAAAGTTAAGTCAATAATGAATGTTATAAAAATTAAAATTAGGAATGTGCTATTTGTAAATAATGCAGCATTTATATCAGTTTTCACCCTCCTCACATAGAGGGGGGCCACTTCAGATAAATTCCTTCCATGTGGAAGGTATGGACATCGTTATGGACACTATGACTTTGACGTAAGTGTTGCACAAACCTTAAAATTATTGTGGTCATTCAAGCGAGTTCCAATTATCAATGGCTTAATTTTACAAACGGTCACTGAACTTATGTGAAAATTACAAAACAGTCACTATAGTTCAAAACTTTCAATAACAGTCACTTACGTTTCGGGCCCTTTAAAAAAAGGTCACTGAAGTTTAAAAATATTTTTTCAATTTTTTGAGCTACTTTTGCGGCAACTTTTCAATCACTTTCGATCACTGATATTGCTGAATTTTGGTACCATTGAAAAGCCCACAATGTCCTCTTCAATTATGACATAAAATCTCCCCGTAGCTCCAAGGGATTCTACCGAAAAATTGCCGCAAAAGTGGTCCAAAAAATTTGATAATTTGCCCCCTTTTGCGACGATTTTTCGGCCACTTCGGACCACCAAGACCTCTGAATTTTGATACCGTTGGAAAGCCCACAATGTTCTCTTCAATCACCATCCAAAATCTTCCTCAAACTCCAAAGAATTCGACTAGAATAAATCCACAAAATCGGCTATCCAAAAAGGCGAAAATCTGTCCAGATTCGGGTTGCTGATTTTGTGGGTTTATTCCGACCAAATTCTTTGGAGTTGTGGAGAGATTTTGAGTGGTAATTGAAGAGGAGATTGTGGGCTTTCCAACGATCTCAAAATTCGACGGTCTTGGTGGTCGAATGTTATCGTATATGTTGCCCAAAAAATTGAAAAATCTGCCTAGATTTTTTTTTCTTTTCGGGTAGCCAAATTTGTAGGTTTATTCCAGCCGAATACTTTAGAGTTTTGGAGAGATTTTTGGTGATAATTGAAGAGTACATTGTAAGCTTTCCAACGGTAACAAAATACGATGATATTGGTGGTCGAAAGTTACTGGAAAGTTGCCTCAAATGTAGCCCAAAAAATCTGCCCAGATTTTGGCATTTTTTGGTAACCGACTTTGTGGGTTTATTCTAACAGAATCGTTTGGAGTTGGGGGGAGATTTTGGATGGTAATTGAAGAGGTCATTGTGGGTTTTCCAATGATATCAAAATCCGACGATTTTGGTGGTCGGAAGTCGCCAAAAAATCGCTTCAAAAGTTGCCCAAAAAAAAGTCTAAAAATCTACTCAGATTTTCAGATTTTTTGGGCGACTTAGAATCCCATAGAGTTACGGGGAGGTTTTTGGTGGTAATTAAAGTAGATATTGTGGGCTTCCTAACGGTATCAAAATTCAACGGTATCGATGATCCGAAGTGATCGAAAAGTTGTCGCAAAATAGCCAAAAAAACTGAAAAAAGTATTTTTAAATTTCAGTGACCGTTCCTAAAAGTTTTTAAACTTCAGTGACCATTTCTGAAAGCACCTCGAAACTTAAGTGATCATTACTGAAAGTTTTAAACTTCAGTGACCATTTTGTAATTTTCACATAAGTTCAGTGACCGTTTGTGAAATTAACCCATTATCAATTGAACGGCTGGCCATTAAATAGAAATACTTCACCTACTTCACTTGCCATTTTCGTATTACCTCTGGCATATAAAGCCTTCTTGTGAACATCCTACCAAACTCCCACTGATCAGTCCTTCCATGGCTGTACCAACCCCAAAACCTTCATCAACTCATCCACAACTTGGGCAAATAGTAATTCTTGGCCTACCGTCTTTCCTCAAAAGACAAGACAAAGAATTCACTTCAAAATTCCAATTTCTGAGTCCGTCGGAATCCAATCTTCCGTTGGACCAATTCCTAGCGGCGGAGGCTCAAAACACTCAAGCCGCCGTCTGCTCCGGCGGATTTAAGATCTCCGCCGACGTCCTCCGCCATCTTCCTTCCCTTAGGCTGATTGTCACAACCAGCACCGGCTTCAACCAGATAGATCTCTCCGAGTGCCGTAAACGTGGAATCTCCGTCGCAAATGCCGGCAACATCTACTCCGCCGACGTTGCAGACCTGGCTGTGGGGATGATTATTGATGTTATGAGGAAAATCAGTGCCGGCAATCGTTTTGTTAAAAGTGGGCTCTGCCCTAAACAGGGGAATTTTCCTCTTGGTTCTAAGGTACATTATTTGTCATCGAATTCTATTACTTCATACTTTTGGTTTGGCGTCTTTAAAACAAATTCTAAATGAGATTTTTTTTTTTTTTTTTTTAATGTCACAAGCAAAAAATAGAAGTCCCGCGAAATGGGTCCTTAAATTTTTCCAAGCATAGATTACTATACATTTTCATTTGATTATTTATGATTTTTTACATGCTTTTTAAATATGGTATTGTTGAGTAAATTATAATAAATAAACTAAAAATTATGGATTCTACTAAATATGTAAATAGTAATTATATATCCTACAGTGAATAAATCGTATGCTTGACCAGACATTTTTATATTTTAATCACCAAGGAGGATTGATGATTTCAGTTAGGTGGCAAGCAAATTGGGATTGTTGGGTTAGGAAGCATTGGTGTACAAGTAGCAAAGAGGCTCGAAGCATTTGGTTGTAAAATTTCGTACTACTCGAGGAAGAAGAAGCCTTTTTCTTTGTATACATTTCATTCCGACATCCATGAACTGGCTTCCGTATCCGATATCCTTGTAATTTGTTGTGCATTGACTGAGAAAACCCGTCATATGATTAACAGAGAGGTTCTTTTGGCGCTCGGAAAGGAAGGGCTGATCGTTAATGTTGCACGAGGAGCAGTAATAGACGAGAAGGAATTGGTGCGGTGTTTGGTGCGACAAGAAATTGCAGGGGCGGGATTGGATGTATTTGAACACGAACCTCATGTCCCTCGAGAGCTGTTTGGATTGGACAACGTAGTGTTATCGCCACATTCTGCTGCCTTAACAGAGGGAGTGTTTAGGAATACAAATGAAATTGTGACCGGGAATTTGGAAGCTTTCTTCTCAAATAGACCCCTGCTTTCTCCAGTTTTAGACGATGAATAGAGTCGTCAACAGTTTTATGTTATTTCAGCAGTCAGCATAAAAAGAGACCGAATTTGTGTTGTGCTATCTGCTGAAGAGATTGAATATGATGTAAAACTATCTCGTCTAAAAGCTATTAAAGAAAGCAAATTTGTTTGAATCATCTTTCAACCCCACGTGCAGATCTAAACTTTTATCTTATTGATATCAAAAGCATAGCATATGCTGAATTTTTAAAAACATATGGCCAACTAGATTTGAATTTAGGGCCTGTTTGATAGGGAATACATGGAAATGACCCAAATAGAAAGACCATTTTTTTAGTCTTTGGTTAATTTTGATACCTAAAATACCCCTTTATAATATTACATAATAAGTTGATGAAATATAGAAATCTTTCAACTTAGTCCTTAAAAAATCAAATACTTCATGGATTTTTATAGATTACCAATTTATTTGATTTATTATATTTATGTTCGCTCTAAGTAGCACCCCTATTTATGTTATTTGATTTATTAAATTTATTTGATTTATGTTCGCTTTAAGCACCCCTATTTATTGGTATCAGAGCCATAGAGATCATGGAAATTAAATTAAGAAAAATAGATAATTATTGATATTTAGAAGAATAAAAATGTAGTTATATATTTTTAAAACATATTCATAATAAATAAAAAATAATAACTTTGATAATAATTAAAGAACTTCCTAAAGAAATAAAGGAACAAATATTAGAAAAAAGTAATAATAGAAAGAATAAAAGATATTTATACATATGAAAAAATTATTAATATATATGAAGATGAAGAAAATAATTTATATTATAAAAAAAATAAGAGTACAATTGATAATACTCATCAAAAATTAAATAAATTACTTTTAAAAATGGATAAAATACAAGAAGAAATAGGAAATATAATGTTAATACAAGAATGAATGAGAATACCAAATAATAGACAGTTAACAAAACTAAAATGTGAAAGACTAAGACTGGAGAGTAAATATTTTACTATAGTTAAAGAAGAATTAGTAGATCCAGAAATAGTTGAGAGAATATTTAGAAAAATAATAGATAAGAAAGAAGATAAAAGATGCAAATTAACTTATGAGTTAGAAATAAGAAAAAATTAAGATGTCAATAAGTGAATATATGAAAGAATTAAAATCATTAATAAAAATGTTAATAAATGATGTACAAGATTTGAGAAATGATGTAAAAGAAATAAGAAATTATATAAATATATTAAAAATTGAAATTAGAGAATTAAAAGAAAATAATAAGAATAAGGATAAGAAAATAGATTAAAAAAAAACTTATAGAAAAAGAGATGACTCGAATAAGAAAGAAACATATAGAAAAAGAAAATATAGTAATAGAAACAGAGAGCATGGATGATGAATTTAGAAAAAATATATTACCAAAAATATTAGAAGAAAAAGAATTTAGAGAAAAATCATTAGGAAAATTAAAAATAGAAGAAAAAGAAAATAAAAATGAATGAAGGGTTAGATTTGCTGATAGAAAATTTTGATCAATTAAGCTTAACTGATATAAGTGAATACCAAGTTTTAATGAATACTAGAGGAGGACATAATTCAGCAGGAACCTCTAAACAAGAATTACATGATACAGATGAAAGTTATGCACATATATATAATAAACTATATAGACAATTTTATGATAAAGTAAGAGATAAACAACCACCTAAAAGAAATAAATATAAAGATAGGTTTGAATTAAATGATAATTATAACAAACCAATTAATCATAGAGGAACAAAACTAGATTTAAATTGTAAAATAGATACTAAAAAATCCTTATTAACTTGGGCGGATTCAATGATATTATTCTTTTTATATAATAAAGATTACACACGGGAAAGTATTGAAAGAATGAAAGATTTCTTAAGAGCATCATTTGAAGGAGATGTTAGAAATTTGTGGGAAGGAATAAGCAATGATACAAAAACATTAATAAAAAGAAATGTACAAATAGAAATAATAAAATCAGATAAACAAGGTATAGAAAAATTAGTAAAATATGTTTCAGATGAATTTTTAGGAGAAAATTAGATAAGAAATGTTGAAGAAGAATCAATAAAAGAAAAAGATAATGCTAGAATAAAATTAATAAACTTAACAATATGTGATTTGTGTAAAATTAAGGAATATACTTGTGAATTTAAAAATGAGGAAATTTCATTGGGTATCAAAAATTGGGTTTGCTTTATCAAAATTGTCACCTTTTAAATTTGCTATCAAAAATATCAGTTTATGACATTTTTGCCCCTCTGAAATATTTGAATACCAAACTTGTGTTATGTGTATTGTGTGAGAATGGGAAATCTGAATTGACGCGAGACGAAAGAAAATGCAATTACAAACCTAATTTTTCCAATTTTTACTTCTCCATTTCCCTCTCGTCTCTGCCTTTCACATTCTCACGCCCATCGCTACTGTCTCACTCGCCGGCTCCCTTATTTTCTGGCCAAATCGTCGTCATCGATCGTCGGTGAAATCGCTCGTCGTTGCTGCCTTGAGACACTGGCTTTGAAGATTTTAGAAATCTGCGTTTCAATTTTTTCTTGTCGCCGACGCTGACCCACAGCCTCTCCGGTCTCTGCCACTGGCCCACTGCACCGTCTTTGTGACAACAGACTCCGTGAGTCCATGACTCGTGAGCCTCCTGCCTCTCTCTGTATTTTTTTTTTTTTTTTTTTTTGCGGTTTTTGTTCCTTTAGTTCATTTTTTGATTTATCATTTATGAGTTATGATTGATGTTTTATTTTCACTTTTCTATGATATGTGGAATGAGTTTTGCATATATCTATTACACATTTATGATTGACAAACAATTTTGAAGCATGTGCAATGAAGTGGTTAAAAAAGTTTCACATGGTATTTGGATTTTGAATTTCAATTTTCAGTGTTATGAAATGCTTTCTAAAATAATTCAGTATTCTTACTGATCCCTGCTAAACTGATCTTCAGCTGGTCATGATATGTTGCTTAATCGTCGATAAAATCATTGTTTGATTCTCTATTAGGATGTAGAGATAATATTCATAAAGTGTATCTTGATGAAACTGTTGTATTTCTTTTTATCATTTCTTTTAATGTTTTGATAAGTTATGGTGACTGGCTCTTGTTCACTCATAAATACATTGCATTTACGTATGGTAGTGTACTCGTTAAACTTCGTCTATAGAAGTAGTTGAGGAAAGGAGAAAGATTAAGTGGGGTGTCCTCAATATAGAGTTTGATGGATTTTAAAACTCCATATAAATTGAGGTGTCCTCAATTTAGAGTAAAATATAATTCATTAAAATGTGGGTGTCCTCAATCTAGATATTTAGAAATACTTATAAATTTAAGTGTCCTCAATTACTAGTTGATTTAAAAGGATTTCGTTAATTAGATAGAATTTGATGGATTTTGAAAGATTTCAAGCCATAAATATAAATACAAAAAATATGGAACACTTTTATCTCAATCGAGGACATATAATTCATTACCTCTGTTTTTGAATCAGAATTGTGCAAACCGAAATTTCTTCTTTGACTCTTCCGTTCCTGAAGAATGTGTCTTTGACACTTCTTGCATGACAACGTCTGACATAATGTACTCCCTCACTTAAGGATTTTCAGTTCAGACTCGTGTATGTAACATATTATATATGGATCAATATAATCATTTTTCTTTAATTGGTTTTGAATGCCACAAGTATGGTTTATTTTTTTATCTCTTTTTGCTATCAATTGTCATGTGCTGTCAATTTTAATCCCTTATATTGTGTTTGCAAGAGGCGATGATGTAATTCAAAGGGATGATAAAATTAGCTTGTCATTGTTGAAGAATTTGAGAGAGCATTGCACAAGGTAATTATTAAATCCGAATACACGAGTCTGTCGCAAATTAAAAAATTTCCCTGTAGTCATGTGGAATATAGGTTTTTACCAATTAGAGTTCTCCATTTCCATTCGGTCATAGTTTCAATTTTCTAGTTGCTGATAACTTATTCTTTTTAACCCCTCCAGCTCTTGCAAATCTCAGTCATCTGAAGCAGAGCATTTCGTTCTAACATGCTAAGAAAGAATGATTTTTTATATTTTATATGCTTGTTAATTTATTAATCTTTTGACTATTTGTTGACAACTGTAGCATAATCAATATATATTTAATTTCGTGTTACTGAAAGTACCAAGCAGATTATGTTTTTTATTGGTATAATACTAGTTAGGGAGCAATCGATACCTTTCAGCGGTCGACTTATTTGTACAGTGTCCGAAGTTCATTTGTTGTTCTGATGGCACCAATCAGTCTGGGGTTATCTTAAGGATCTAACAGTAATATGTCAGTGTCAGTGTCGGTGTCAGTGTCAGTGCTCTATCTGCTACTGGTCCTTTTTTCCCCATATGTTGTTTTTCACACTTAGTTTATTTGTTGAGGTCAGGCCATATGGTTTGATGATAAAGAAATTTAGGTAGACAAATTCACATATTTGGCCACTATAAAATAAAAGGACGGTTTACATGGTTTTTCCTCTATTTATTAATATATACTGTGTAATAGTTGTGATACTTATCTGTTTATTATGGTCTTTGGGGATTTGATGTTATTAACTGCTAGCTTACGGATTAATATTGTACTTATTTCATGCGCATAAACGTGAGTATGGTATTGAAGCTCCTAGCATTAGGTAAACAAAACTGGAAGTTGAGGATTTGTTATTTTTTGTTGATTTGTGTTTGATTTACATATAGTTTTCTTGGCAATCGTCATTTTTTAATGTATTGACTCATCAAACTCATCAAAAGGAGTAATTTCTTTTGATGTATGATTTTTTGTAACCAGCTTGGAGATTGAACAATATTTTTAGAGGTTTTATGGCTTGAACAAGGTTTGAAGGTTTGTAATGCATAATTTCTTGTCTCCTGGAAGAATAACCAATTCTTTTAGAGCTTTTATGGCATGAACAAGATTTATACTTTTATGACATTCATTTGCAAATGTCACTGCAGTATCAGAGCAAGTAGGTTGAGGAACTCTCTCGCAACCTAGCATAGAAATTTCAATGTTTTTCCATTCTCCAGATATTCTTTGTTGCCTCCTCAAGCTCAGGAGAGGTATGTTTGATACATTTTTATCACAATTATAATA